TTTGTATTTTTAGTAGAGATGGGGTTTCAGCATGTTTGCTGGGCTGGTCTCAAACTCCTAACCTCAAGTGATCCGCCTGTCTTGGCCTCCCAAAGTGTTGGGATTATAGGTGTGAACCATCGCGCCCAACCTAGATGGAGATTTTAATCGATTTCCCAAATCAGTTTCAATTCTGTCATGCTCATTATCTGCTTCTTCAAAAAGTCTTTGAACCAGAGTTAAGAATATATTATTGCATCAGTAGCCGGGTGCGGTGGCTCACGTATGTAATCCCAGCACTTTGCAAGGCCAAGGCAGGTGGATCACCTGTCAGGAGTTCGAAACCAGCCCGGCCAACATGGCGACAATCCGTCTCTACTAAAAATACAAAAGTTAGCTGGACATGGTGGCAGATGCCTGTCATCCCAGCCACTCGGAAGCTGAGGCACGAGAATCGCTTGAACCCGGGAGACAGAGGTTGCAGTGAGCCAAGACTGTGCCACTGCACTCCTGCCTGGGCGACAGAGGGAGACTCCACTCCATCTTATGTGAACTAGAGGATTGGGGGAATTGCTGAGAAAAAAGGACAAATCTCAAAGAAACAGAGACATGACAAGAGAAGAGAGTGGTGTTTGAGTCTCTGACTCCATATTGTTCTTAAGGCCAATGAGGTCTGAGAGAGAGTCAGAACTATCTTGTTTATGAATTCCATGAGATAGTCCATAAATCTGTCTTTAGTTGGGTTTCTGTCACTTGCAACAAGAGTCCTGACTACTGCAGTTGAGTGGAGTTAAAAGGTATAGCCTCAATAGTTGAGCTAGCTCTGGCTTTAAAAGGCTTCCAGTTTGAATTACACTCCATTCCCTCTGGTGCCCCTAGAAAGAGCCCTCTCTAACACAGACCAGCAGCTGGCAGACATGCTTTAGTTTTTTTTCTTTGCAGGAATTTTGCTGCCTTGATTTGGGACAGATGATCAGCCTCACCAGCATGTTGTTTTGACTTTGAAAAAATGCCCATTGTGACCAACGTGAGATGGTATCTCATTGTGTTTGGGAGTTGCATTGCGCTGAGGTTGCACATTTTTTCATGTTGGTTGATCACTTGAACGTCTTTTTTTTTTTTTTTTAATTTTTATTTTTTGAGACAGTGTCTCACTCTGTTGCCCAGACTGGAGTGCAGTGGTGCAATCTTGGCTCACTGCAGCCTGCGCTTCTTGGGTTCAAGCGATACTCCTGCCTCAGCCTCTGAAAGTGCTGGGATTGCAGGCATGAGCCACCATGCTCAGCCTGTTCCCTTACATTTCTTTACAAAAATTTACCCTGTGGTAAAGGTGTACTACCAGAGGGTAGAATGAGACACTTTGGTCCATGCGTACATTGTGTAATGATAAAATCAGGGTATTTAGCATCTGTCTTTCCTCATAGAGTGAGGTGAAGACATTCAGAATCCTCTTTTCTAGCTTTCTTGAAAAGTACACTCTGATAACGTTAGACCTAGTCACCCTGCTGCTGTGGAAAAGAACTACGGGTTTCATTCCTCTCATGGGAATATGTAACTTTATACCTGTTTCCAATCTCTGACCATGCCCCACCTTTGAACCCCAACCCATTTAGAAAGTTATGCTTACTAGTTCTAGGAAATAAAGTTTTGTAGATTCCTCCTGAGTGAGACAATGCGATGTTTGTCTTTCTCTGCATAGTTTATTTCTTTTTTCTTTTTTCCTTTTTTTTTTTTTTGATATAGTGTCTGGCTCTGGTTGTTCAAGCTGGAGTGTAGGGGTGCGATCTCAGCTCACTCCCAGAGTAGCTGGGACTTTTGAGAAATGTCTCTTCAGGTTCATTGCCCAACTTTGGCCGGGTGACTTGGCTTTGCATGTTTTGCTTCTTAGTAGCATTAGTTTCTCGTGCATACCATGTAACAACCTCTTTCAGATAAATGATTCCTCATCATGCCCTCCCTATATGAAGAATGCCTTCTCATTGTTGATTGGTTCATTGCTCCCTTTACCATGCCGTAGTTCTCGAGTTTTCTTTTTCACGTGTTGAGTTTTCCTTTTGTTAGCAGTGATTTTGGGTCAGGCCAGAAAGAAAAATCACAATTTTGATACATTTCATTGATTTTGAGTGTATTTTCCATGTATTTCCTGTTTTTTCTTTTTGCAACCTATGAGCATAGATTAAGTTGCCCTGAGCTTCCACTCACTCTGTGTTTTCCTGTAGAAGTTTTATGCTTTTGGGTCTTGTGTTTAGGTTTTCATTTATTTCAAGTTGGTATTTGTGTATTGTGTAACATAAGGGTCCTATTTCATTCTTTTTCATGTGGATATCCAGTATTTTCAGATTCATTAATTGAACAGACCTCCCACTCCTCATTTTGTCTTCCAGGCATTCTCTTGAAAAAACAGCGTGTTGACTCCATACAGATGTACGTTTAGGTTCTGTTATGTCTGCATGGTTTCATTGTTAGGCCACTGCCATAGTCTTTGGATGAGTAGATCTTTTCCATGTAATTTGAAATTGAACAGTGTGAGACCTCCAAACAAGTTTGTATTTCCTAGGATTGCTTTGCATGTTTAGAGTCTATGGTAGTTCCATGTGAATTTTTAGCTGTGTATAGTTACATTTCATGACAATTTTGGTTCATACTGCGTGTCCAGAATTAGGGGTGCAATGGGGACATTACAGCACTTGTGTACCTTGCATAAGGATTAAGGATAAGCTCAAGGAGGTTTCCATGTTTTGTGTGTGGGTTTCCAGTTTTCTCAAAGTCATTTACAGAACAGACTAGCTGTTTCCCATTTTGTTTGGGTTTTTTGTTTGTTTGTTTGTTTGTTTTGATACAGAGTGTTGCTTTTTTGCCCAGGCTAGAGTGAAGTGGTGTGATCTTTGCTCACTGCAACCTCTGCCTCTCAGATCCAAGCGATTCTCCTGCCTCAGCCCCCAAGTAGCTGGGATTACAGTCACATGCCACCATGCTGGCTAATTTTTCTATTTTTATTATCACCATGTTAGGCTGATCCCAAACTCCTGACATCAAGTGGTTCGCCAGCCGTTGCCTCCCAAAATGTTGGGATTACAGACGTGAGCCACCGCGCCTGGCCTTTTGAGAAATCTGTTGACTGTAAGTACATTCAGATTTGTCTGTTGGCTACCCAATACTGTCCAATGATAAATGTTTCTATTTTTATGCCAGTTCCTTGCTGCCTCAGTAAGTATAGCTTTTTGATGTAATTTGACATCGCAGAGCGTGAGGCAATCAAGTGATTTTCTCTTTCTGGGAAGTGCTTTGGATTTTCAGGGTCTTCCCTGGTTCTCTGTGAATTTTACCATTGTCCATTTATAGTTTTAAAATTGAGTTTGTCATACATGTCCAAAATTAGGGGGTACAGTGGGATTTTTTTTACTTGCGTACTTCGAGGAATGATTAAGTCAGGGTGTTTTGCATATCTATTCCCATGTCCAGTTTTTATTTGTTTGTTGTGTGAACCTTCAGTGTTCCTCTCCTTTCTACCTCTATTGAAAGAGATCCTACCGTATTGTTACTTGTAGTCACCCTCCTGTGGAGTAGATCACCAGCATTAATTCCTCCCCTGGAAGTGCAACTTGGTACCCATTACCAATGCCAGCCCATGCCCTCCCCTCCCCCCAGCGTCTGATAACCACTATTGTACTTTCACTTTCCATTAGATAATTCTTTTTTAGTCTCCTCATGGGTCAGATGATGCAGTGTTTTTGTTTCCCTGCCTGACTGATTCCACTGAGTATAATGTCTTCCAGGTTTATCCGTGTTGCCACAAAAGACATTATGTCATCAATCTTTGTTGTTGGGGCGTATTTCGTTGTGTCCATATACTGAAGTTCCTTCATCCCTTCATCAGTTGCAGGACAGGTAGGTTGATTGCATACCTTAGCTATTGTGTATAGTGCTTCGGTCAACCTGGGAAGGCAGCTATGGCTTTCATGCAGTGATTTCACTGTCCCTAAGTATATACCCACTGCTGGAATTGCCAGATGAAATGGTAGTTTCCTTTTTGATTGTTTGGGAAGCTACAAGAGGTTTTCTTTTTTTTTGAGACGGAGTCTAGCTGTGTGGCCCAGGCTGGAGTGCGTGGCCGGATCTCAGCTCACTGCAAGCTCCGCCTCCCGGGTTTACGCCATTCTCCTGGCTCAGCCTCCCGAGTAGCTGGGACTACAGGCGCCTGCCACCTCGCCCGGCTAGTTTTTTGTATTTTTTAGTAGAGACGGGGTTTCACCGTGTTAACCAGGATGGTCTCGATCTGCTGACCTTGTGATCCGCCCATCTCAGCCTCCCAAAGTGCTGGGATTACAGGCTTGAGCCACCGCGCCCGGCCAAGAGGTTTTCATAGTGCCTGTAGTAACAGTGATTTCTCCCAACAGTGTGAGAGTAGCTGTGTGTGCAACTTCCTCCAGGGAATTTGTTTGAAATAACTGGTTTCTTTTATTTGTTCAAATTAGGGTGAGTGTGTATCTGAGTGTGGTTTTCATTTACAGTTTAGAGATGATTAGTAATGTTGAGAACCGCCCTTTTCACATGTTAGTGAATTGTGCATTGTCTTTTTAGTGATGTCTGTTCAGGATTGTGTCCCAGTTTTGGTTGGGTTAGTTGGTTTTCTGTGTTTTGCTCCTCAGTGGTGTGGTAGTTTTAGATGCATGATTCCTTATAATGTCCTTTCTATCTGAAGAATGCCTTCTGAGTGTTGGTTGGTGCATTGCTTTCTTTAATGTGCAGAACTTCTTCAGGATTTTTTGTGTTTTTGTTTCTTGATTATTTTAGTTGTGATTTTTTTATTTTTGTTTTTTCCTTTTTTTTTTTTTTTTGAGACGGAGTCTTGCTGTGTTGCCCAGGCTAGAGTGTGGTGTCATGATCTTGGCTCACTGCAACCTCCGCTTCCCGGGTTCGAGTGATTCTCTTGCCTCAGCCTCCCAAGTGGCTGGGACTACAGGTGTGTGCCACCACTCCTGGCTAATTTTTGTATTTTTAGTAGGGACAGGGTTTCACCATGTTGGCCAGTCTGGTCTCGAATTCCTGACCTCAGGTGATCCACCTGCCTCGGCCTCCCAATGTCCTGGATTTACAGATGTGAGCCAGCATGACTGACTAGCAGTGATTGTTTTTGTAAGGTAAAGTCAATAACAAAAACTAGAAAGTTTGACTTCTGTTGTTGGAAGTGGTTTTTTTTCTGTTTTTCTTTTTTTTTTTTTCCTATTGTTTGCTTTTACATCCTGTGAGCTTAGATTCGGGTTTTCCTAAACTTAAGCTCACTCTGTGTTTTCCCGTAGCAGTTTTATGCTTTTAGGTCTTGTGTTTAGGGTTTAATGTATTTTGAGTTTATATTTGTGTATTGTATAACATCAAGGTCTTATGTCTTGTTTCATTCTTTTGTATGTGGCTATCCAGTCGTTTCAGACTACTCAATTGAACAGACTACTGACTCCTCATCTCATCTTTTTTCCGCTTTGGGATGTAGTCCCACTCATGCTGTCGCCCACACTGGAGTGCAGTGGCGAGATCTCAGCTCTCTGCAACATCTACCCTCTTGCTTGGAGCGATTCTCCTGCCTCATCTTCCCAAGTGGCTGGGATTGCTGGTGTGCGCCACCACACCTGACTCAGTCTCTGAAAGCACTAGGAGTACAGGTGCCATAGCACCCAGCCTCATTGCATCTTCTAGGCATTCTTTAAAAAAAATGTGTTGACTGCATACAGGTGTGCGTTTAGGTTCTCTTATGTCCCTAGGTTCATGGATTCATTTTTTTGCCAGTACTGTAGTCTTTGGATGAGTGGAGGTTTTACATGTAATTTGAAATTGGGGAGTGTGCGGCCTCCAATTGAGTTTGTATTCCCTAGGATTGCTTTCCATATTCAGGTTCTTTGGGTCTTTAGTGGTTCCATGTGAATTTTTAGCCGCGTATTGTTAACATTTCATAAAACATTTGTTTTATACTTCATGTGCAGAATTAGGGGTGCATTGGGACATTGTGATACTTGTTTGTATACCTTGAGTATGGATAAAATCAGGGAGTTTCCCATGCTTGTGAACACGTGTAGGTTTGATATCTTCGATGTGTGAACATTCAAAATCCTCCTTAGTAGCTATTTTGAAAACAGCACGACCATGTTGTTAAGTATCATCGCCCTGCTTTGGAGTGGAATACCAGAATGTATTCCTCTCCTGTAACTCTCTGTGTACCTGTTGCCAGTCCTTGATGTCCTCTCCTCCCCCTAGCCTGTGGTGACCACTGCTGTATTTTCACCTTCAGTGAGTTAAATTTTTCAGCTCCCACATGAATGAGAACATGCAGGCTTGGTCTTTGTCTGCCTTTCTGATTTGATTGAACAGAATATCTCCAGGTTCAGCCATATTGCTGGAAATGGTAGGATTCCATGAACTTTGATGGTGCAAAAGTATTCCATTGTGTCTGTATACTAGAGATTCTTCATCCCTTCATCTGTGGATGGACAGGTCGGCTGATTTCTTGTCTTGGCTTTTGGGCATAGGGCTGAATTCCACCTGGGATGACAGATAATCTCTTCCATGTCCTGATCGTGCACTCTGTGTATATACCTAGGAATAGAATTGCTGGAGACAATGGTAGTTGTAGTTTTACAATTTCAAGAAACATCTAAGTGGTTTCTTCTAGTGTGCATACTAGTTTACCATTTCCCACCAAATGTGGAGACAAGTTCCTCCTCTGGAAATCCACACCTTGATTGTTTTGTGTTTTAATATGTTTCAATTTTTTTCTTGTGGCATCCATTGAATGTAGAGTGAGATGAAATCTTGAGTGTGTTTTTGATTTTTGTGTGTGTATGATAAGTGATACTTGCTAGGTTATTGTGAATTTGTTTTTAATTTGTTATGTAGCCCTAGGCGGAGGACCTGAAGACATGAGGTTGATGCACAGGTCAAAGAGAAGATTCTCACCATCGTTGATTCACACAAAAGTGTGAGAAAACCACACTCGGATTTCATCTCACTCCAGTTAAAATGAATGCTACCAACATTTGATGGCAGTTTTATTTCTATAGAGTATACACACACACACCCCCCCAACCCAAGGGTGCAAGGGACATTTTGACATATGTTTGTGTAGCATCATGATCAAATCATCGTATCTGGCATCTGTGTGACCTTCCATCATTATTATTTCTCTGTGGAGAGGATATTCAGAACCATATTTTCCAGCTGATTTTGAAAAAATTTACTAGATTCTGTTGACCCTAATCACCTAGTCACCCTGTTGTGCAATAGAACACCAGAATGGATTCCTTGTATCTGAGCATCACTCTGTACCTGTTACCAATCCCTGCCCAGGCTCCCTGCTCTCCCCAGCCTCCAGTAACCCCTATTGGAAGTTGTGCTTGTCAAGGAGACAGTGTTTTTTGGATTCCACATGCCTGATGTCATGCAGTGTGGGTCTCTCCCTAGCAGACTCGTTTCATTTCACCTAATTGTCTTCCAGGTTTCTCCAAGTGGTTGCAGATGACATGATTTCCTGAAGTATTAGAGCTGATGTGTGTTTCATTGTGTATATATACTGTGGTTCCTTTATCCCTTCATGTGTGGATAGACAGGTAGGTTGATTCCACATCTCGGCTATTGTGACTAGTGCTTCAGGACACATGAAAAGGCAGATAACACAGGGTTTTCGTTTTCTCTAAACATGTACCCAGTGGTGGGATTGTCAGCTGGAGTGGCAGTTGTACTTTTTTTTTTTAAAGACGGAGTCTTGCTCTTGTCTCCCAGGCTGGAGTGCAGTGGGGCAATTTCGGCTCAATGCAAACTTCACCTCCTGCATTCAAGTGATTCTCCCACCTCAGCCTCCCAAGTGGCTGGGAATACAGGCACCTGCCACCACGCCTAGCTAATTTTTGTATTTTTAGTAGAGATGGGATTTCACCATGTTAATGAGGCTGGTCTCGAACTCCTGACCTCAGGTGATCCACCTGTCTCAGCCTCCCAAAGTGCTGAGATTACAGGTGTGAGCCACTGCACCCAGCCTACCTTTTACTTTTTTAAGGAACTTCGAAAATTTTTTTGTAGTTTATATAGTAATTTTCATTCCATAAAGAGTGTAGAGGATTTTTTTTTTTTCTTGCAAGTCAGCACTGAGCATTGCCTTCAACAATTTTGATTTTTGTGTTTTGTAATACTCGTTCTAGGTGGAGTTAGATGGTAACCGAGTATGGTTTTGATTCACATTTTTGTGAGGATTAGTGATATTGAGAAACTGTCACCTGTGAGTCAATTTCCTGCCTTCTTTTCACTCAGGTCTATTTAGATCCTCTTACCTTGGATATTTTTTGTTGTTTTTGTTGTTTTTCACTTAGTCATATCAGTTTATTGTACGTGTTAGATAACAACCTCTTTCAGGGTTAGGATTTTTTATAGTTTCTCCCAGTCTTTAGGATGCTTTTTTTTATTTGTTTCATTGTTTTCTTTTCCCTGTAGAAGTTGCAAAATGTCCCTAGTCTCATATGGTTATAGTTTTGTATGTGAGCAGTGATTTTTGTGTTCAACACCCGACTTCCACTAAACACAAAAACATGTGTGCATGTGCGTGCACATGCACGCACACATGCACACACACACAGAACCAAGCCTTGCATTGTCTCTGGGTGTAGTTTCCCTACTTTTTTTTTTCAGTGTTATGATGCTTTTTTACCTTTTGCAGCCTGTTTGCATAGATACTGGGTTTCCTAAAATATATACCCACTCTATATTTTCTTATAGGACCTTTACAAATTCAAGATTGAGTTTAGGTCTTTAATTCATTTTGTGTTGATTTTGTGTATTGTGCATTGTAAGGGTCCTATTTCAGTGTTTTTCCTGTGGAGATTCAGTTTTCTCAAAATCAGTAATTGAACCAGACTCTCCCTTTCCCATTGTGTCTTTTTGGGGTTTTGAAAAATGTGTTCCCTACATATCATGTTGAATAGAGTATTTGGCTGCCTCTTTCTGTCACTTAGGTCCTCGTTCTGTGTTTGTGACAGTCATGGATTGTTTGGATAAGTAGATTGTTTTTTCATTTATTGTTTTCTTTGGTTCTAACCTTGGATTTTTTTTAATGCATTCTACTCTTATTATTATAGTTTAAAGGGTACATATGCAAGTTAGTTACATCTGTTGATTGCATGACGCTGAGACTTGGGGTCCCGACAACCCCATAACCCAGGCAGTGAGCAGAGGGCCCACAGGTTGGGTCTTCAGCACACGCTCCCTCTCTCCTGTTTTTTTATTGGTCTGGTGGTCATTCCAGGTGTCTGTTGTTCTCTTCTTTATGTTTGAGTCCATTCACAGTTTAGCTGCCGCTTATAAGTGAGAACATGTGGCATTTGGTTTTCTATTTGGGCCTTAGTTCACTTATAACAATGGCCTGCAGTTTCCACCTTCTGGGCTCAGGTGATCCTCCCACCTCAGCCTCCAGATTAGATAGGACTACAGGTGCCCGCCACCACATCCAGCTAATTTTTGTATTATTGTAGAGATGGGATTTCATCATTTTGCTCAGGCTGGTCTTGAATTCTGAACTGAAGCCATCCACCTGCCTCGGCCTCCCAAAGTGCTAGAATTACAGGTCTGAGCCACTGTGCCGGTCTCTCATCCACTGTTGATGGCTAGGTTGATTCCATGTCTTTGACATTGTGCATAACACTGCCATGAACATACGAGTGCCTGTGTCTTTTGGATAGAAGGGTTGATTTTCCTTTGGGTAGATGCACAGGAGTGGGCTTACTGGGTGAGAGTGTAGTTCTGTTTTCAGCTCTTTGAGAAATCCCTGATCTGCTTTCAATGGTGTCTGTACTAGTTTTCATACCCCCCAAGGCATACCAGTGTTTCCTTTCCTTGGCTGCCTCACCAGCGTGTGTTCTTTGTCTGCGTGGTCCTCACCGTTGTGACCTGCGTGGGATGGCATCTCGTCGTGCTTTTGATTGACAGCTCTCTGTTAATGAGTGAGCTTGAGCATGTTTTCCTACTTGTTAGTTGCTTGTACGTCGACTTTTGAGAAGTGTATGTTCACATCCCTGGCCTGTATATTAATGGGATATTCTTTTTCTGTTTATTCCCCTGGTTAACTTGTTGAAGGGCCTTGTAGATTCTGCATGTTAGACGTTGGTCAGATACACAGTTTGGGAACATGTTCTCCCATTCTGTATGCTGCCTGTTTACTCTGTTGTAGTCTCTCTTGCTGTGTAGCAGCTCTTTCAGGTATTAGGTCTGACTTGCCAATTTTTGTTTTTGTTGCCGTTGCTCTTCAGGACTTAGCCATCTAAATGCTTTGCCAAAGCCTATGTGGAGAAGGGTATTTCACGAGTTTTCTGGTAAGATTTTAATAGTTTGAGTTTTTACATTGAAATCTTCCATTCATCATGAGTTCCTCTTTATGTGTGTTGGGAGTTAGGGGCCTAGTGTTATTCTGCACATGGCTAGCCGCTTATTTCAGCATCAGTGATTGAACAGGGTGTCCTTTTCCCTTTGCTTATTTTTGTGGATTCTGTGTTAGATCAGATGGTTTTCAGTGTGTGGTTTAACTTCTTGGTCCTCTCTTGTGTTCCACTGCTCTATGTGGAAGTGGGTCCGTGGCTTTTCCATGAAATTTAAAATCTGACGTAGTCTGGATGTCTCAGGATTGCTGAGGATGAAACTCAGGGCACTTCATGGTCTCATATGAATACTAGCAGCGCCTATTTCTATTTCTTTCAACAAATGTATTGCATAGTAAAGGATCAATACAACGAGAGGGTAGAGTGTGGCATTATGGCCCATGCGTACCTTGTGGAACGATGAAATCAGGGTACTTAGTGATTCTGTTACCTTTTCCCATTGTTTATTCCTTTATGCTGAGAACCTTCAGTATTCTATCAAGCTGCCTTGAAAGTGATGTGCCGATACTGTCAACCCTGGTCACCCTGCAGTGCAATAGAACAACAGAATTTTCTTCCTCTCATTTGTGTGTAACTTTGTACCCATTTACAATCCCTGCCCATTACCCCTGTTTTCCTCCAATCTCTGGAAACCAATATTGTGCTCGCCAGGTCTTTGAGATAGAGTTTCTCAGATTCTGCATGTGTGAGATGACTCAGGTTTGCTTCTCTCCCCCTCACTCATTTAATTTACCATCATGTCCTCCAGGTTCAACCGTGTGGTTCCCCACGATATGATTTCATTGTGGTTTTCTGTCTGAAGAGTATCCCGGTGTGAACATGTGGAGCAGCTTCTTTCTTCCTTCGTCTGTGGATAAGCAGGTAGGTTGATGCTTACACTGGGTCTTGGGAACAGTGCTGAAATCCACATGGGTGGGTAGGTCTATCTTTGGTGTCCTGATTTCAATGGCTTTGAGTGTATTTCTAGTAGTAGAATTGCTGGTTGAAATGGTACTTGGAGTCTTTTAAGGCTTGGAGGAATCTCCAAGTGGTTTCTGTAGCGTGTGCTAGTTTATCTTCTCACGAACTGTGCAGAAGAGTGTCTCTCTCTGTCTCTCTCTCTCTCTCTGGAAACACATACCAGCATTTGCCTTTCTTTCAATGATTTTGTCTTTTTTTGTAACACTCATTCCAATTAGAATGAGGTGGTATCTAAGTGTGGTTTTGATTTACATTTTGCTGTGGTTAGAGATGTTTGCCAAGTTATCGTGAACTTGTTTCTATTTGATGTGTAAGACTGGGCAAAGGACCTGAAGACCTGAGAAGGATGCACAGGTAAAAGATTCTGAATCAACATTACTGATCCTCACGAGAAGTCAATCAAAACCACACTCAGATATCATCTTACTCCGGTGAGAATGAATGTTACCAAAATGGGACAGAGTTTCATTGCTGTAGAGTATGTGTGTATAACCAGTGAGTGCAAGGGACAATTTGATCTGTGTAAATGTAGCATCATAATGAAGTTGCAGTGTCTGGCACCTCTGTGAGCTTGAGTTATGATTTCTCTGTGGAGAGAATATTCACAACTGACCTCTGAAGCTATTTTGAAAATTTTGGTTTTCTGTTCTTGCCTTTTGTTCATAATGGCCTGCGGCTCTGTCCAGGTTTCTGGTAAGGGCATGGATTTGTTTTTTATGGCTGTGTAGTGTTGCGTGGTGTGTATGTACCACATTTCCTTTCTCTGATCCACTACTGATGGGCACCAAGGCTGATTCCGTGTCTTTACCATTGTGAGTAGTACTGCCATGAACATACGAGTGCGTGCATGTTTTGGATGGAAGGATTTTCCTTCGGGTAGATCCTTAGGAGTGGGGTTGCAGCGTTGGGTGGTAGTTCTCTTTTAGGTTCTTTGAGAAATGTCCACACTGCTCTCCAGGGGGTCTGAACTAGTTTGCAGTTCCCCCAACAGTGGACCTGCATTTCTTTGCTCATCTGCCCCACCAGCCTCTGCTGTTGTGGACTGTGTGTCATAATTGCCATTCTGACCAGTGTGAGATGGTATCTCAGTATGTTTCTGATTTGCATTTCTCAGATGATCAGTGAGATCGAACATGTTTTCATGCTCATTGGTTACTGGTACACCTTCTTTTAAGTGTGTGTTCATGTCCCTTGCCCATTTATAAGTTGGGTTTTTTTTCTGATTTTATTTGTTTAAGGTCTTTACGATAAATCCTGGATATTAGACGTTTTTCAGATGCGTAGTTGGGGAGTATGTTCCTTCATTCTATAGGCTGTGTGCTGACTC